TTCCTAAATATTTTATTATTTTGGTGAAAATATTAATGGAATTGTTTTCTTAAAATCAATTTCTGCCTCTTCATTGTTTGTATATAGAAATGTAACAGATTTCTATATAATTGTTTTGTATCCTGCCACCTTACTTAATTCACTTACCAGTTTTAGGAATTTTTGGGTGGAATCTTTAGAATTTTCTAGATAAGTATCATGTCACCTACAAATAGTGAAAGTTTTACTTCTTCCTTTCCCATCTGGATGCCTGTCAGTTATTTTTCTTGTCTGATGGGTGTGGCTAGGACTTCCAGTACTGTGTTGAAATAAACAAAATATATCTTGATTCGTTCTTTACCTTTATTCCCTAAAGTTTCTCTTTTCTTAATGTAGATATAAATTTCTGATCCGTTTGATTTTCCTTGTGTCTAATGAATATTTTGCAACATTTCTTGTAGAACAGGTCAGCTACCAAGGTGCCCTTCTATTTTTGTTTGCTTTAGAAAGTCTTTTTTCATTTTTAAATTTGAAGAATCATTTCCCTGACTATAGAATTCTAGGTTGGTGTGTTGTGTTATTTTTGTTGTTATTGTTAACATTTTAAATATTTTACTCTTCCTTTTTGCTGGTGATGTTTATGAAAAGTAATGTGATATTCTTTTTTTAATCTGTGGATGAAATGTATGAAATGATTTGCATGTCATCCCTTTGTAGGGGTCATGCTAATCTCTGTATTGTTCAAATTTTAGTATATATACTTCTAAAATATTTTTTTAAATATTTGTATTTACTTCTAGGAGAGAGAGAGAGAGAGAGAGACAGCGTGAGCAGGGAAGGGTCAGAGAGAGGGGGAGGTATAGACTCTGAAATAGGCTCCAGGCTCCGAGCTGGCAGTCAGCACAGAGCCCGACGCGGGGCTCGAACCCACGAACCGCGAGATCATGACCTAAGCGAAAGTCGGACGCTCAACCGACTAAGCCACCCAGGCGCCCCTAGTATATGTACTTCTGAAGCAAGCACTACTCTGTAATTCTTGTTGCTTCATTGTTTGTGTTTTCCCTTACCCTGGCCTTTTTTTTTTCTTTTTTTTTTTTTAGGATTTTCTGTTTCTCTTTAGGTTTCTGCATTGCCAATATAATTTTCATATATATGTTTAATTTTTGCTGGTGTTTAATGTTGACATTCTTTGAGTCCCCTCCTCTGTGGTTTGATGTTTGTCATCTGTTTTGGAAAGTTCTAAGCTAATATTTCAAATATTTATTCTTTTCATTCTGATGTGTTGCACTTTTTAACAGTTATAGGATATTCTCTTTCATTATCATTTTTGTTTATTTCAGTTTAGAAAGTTTCATTGTTCTATGGTCAGATTCACTATTTCCTTGGACATTTCAAGTATATCTATAAGACCATCAAAATTATTTGTCATTTGTGTCAGTGTTGTTTTTTTTCAGCATTTACTTTTGATTCTTAGAGTTTCTATCTTAGAATTTATGTAACCTATCTGCCCTTGCATGCTATTTTAACATATTAATTATAGTTACATTAAACTTCCTGTCTTATAATTTATATCTGTGTTATATCCTAGACTATTTCTGATGACTTGTCTCTTCAGTTCTTGCCTTTAGGAAAGCCAAACATGTTGTATCAAGGAATAGAAACTGTCTATAGGCCTTTAATGTGAAGAGCTATATTATTTTGACTAATTATTTGGCTGTCTTTAGTGTTTGTCATAGGTACCAGAGATTAAGCATTCATTGGACTCCTTATTTTTGTCTCCCCTCTTGGCTCTGGAGATTTCCTATGCATTTATTGATTGGAAGGAGTCTGTGTCCCTCATCCCCCTTGCAAGAAAACAAGGAATCTTTCTCAGATTCTCACTTTGAGAATTTGGTGGTGGTCCTAGAAGTAAAGATTATAAAAATGTAGGGTTCCCCAGAAGTTGTTACTCATCCAAGTCCATACTCAGCTTTAGAAAGGCATCAAAATAAGCATTTATGTTATTTCCAATTTATTTATTTTTAAATGTTTATTTTTATTTTTTGCAAGAAAGAAAACAGATGAGGGACAAAAGAGGGAAAGAGAGGATCAGAAGCAGGCTCTGTGCTTTTAGTGCAAAGTGAAACCACAAGAAACCACAGGACCATGACTTGAGCTGAAGTCATATGATTAACCAACTTAACCAGCCAGGCATCCCTGTTCCTCTTACTTTATAGTTCCAGTGGCTTCTGTCCCAGGTAAGCAGATATCAGTTGCTTTATCTTTCTGAAAGTACATGTCTCTCCAGATTTCAGAATAATGATTTGCTCTCCAATCATTTTTCCATGATGAATACTAAAAAAAATTATTGACTTTCAGTTTGTATAGCTTTTATCTTATAATGTCATGAGTGACAACCTCTGTCACTTACATGGTACAGCAGCATCTAGAAGTTATTTGGATGGATTAACTCCACTTTGAGCTTCAAACCCTTGGAGGAAAAAGTATTTCTTTTCTGGGATAAGCAGCATTACCTCTCTGTGCCTTGCATTACTAATTTTAAGTAGATAATATTACCCACCTTATAGAATTGTTAAAAAGAATAAATAACATAGTTTTTTAGGTTTATTTATTTATTTATTTTGAGGAGAGAGAGAGAATCCCAAGCAGATTTCATGCTGTCAGTGCAGACCCTAATGTGGGGCTCAAGCTCACAAAATATGAGATCATAACCTGAGCTGAAATAAAGAGTTGGACTCTTAAGTGACTGAGCAACCCAGGCACTCCAATATAAGACAAGTTTTGATCACAATTCATGGCATCTAGAAAATGTTTAAGGATATTATATTCATTTTTCCTCACAAATGTGCTCTCCATATAAATAGTTGCAGACAAATAGCTCTACCAAATGGCACAGGCATAAACATAGGTATTTTCTACACCACACTTCTGTGTACATGTTAGAAATATGGATAGGGTTATTTGTACTAACACGGAACTTTACTGGTCCACAGAAAAAAATTTCTCTACTTAGTACAGTTACTCTAACAAAAACAAAGAGGCCCTTGTTTAGTAGTTGAAAATTACATGATAAATATTCATGAATATAAAAAAAATAGATGCACTTAAAATTTTACATACCTCAGGCATAGGCTATTAGTCATCTTTGAAATAATTCCTGTATTACCAAGACCTTATTATAAGACAGAAATTTTGGTTTTCTATACATATTTTCCTTACTGTGCTAAAACCAAAGTTTGGCTTATTTGATTGTGATATCTAGAATAATAGTTTGAGATGTAATGTGATCTGTTATATCTTAATTACTAACATTAAATGAAAATATAAAATGTATGCCTTCACCTTGAATTGGTGGCTTTAGACTTAAAATATAATAAGCAGTGGTTTCCTAAGTACTAAAGGCCAGAGATGGAAGATAAGCATTTAAAAAGATGTTTGTAGAAATTATTAATCCACATCAAAAACTATTATCTCATTTCTCTCACCTGATTTAAGATTCATTTAGTTATAAGTGAAGAAATGAATGACATAAATGTGAAGGTTTAGTTAGTAGTCCTATACTTAGGTAATAGTATTTTATAGCAGCAGGTTACTCAGGCCTCAAATATTTCTAGTAAATTTTCCAATAATTATAATATGGGCTGAGCTCTGCCCCTCCCCCCACAATATTCATATGTTTAGGTCCTAACCTCCATTACCTCAGAATGTGACTATATTTGGAGATAAGTCTTTTAAAGAGGTGATTAGTTAAAATGAAGACATAATCCAATGTTACAGGTATTTACAGAAGAAATTAGGACACAAACATATACAAAGGGAAGACCATGTGAAGACACAGTCAGAAGACACCCTGTGCAAGCCAACAAATGAGGCCTCAGAAGGAACCAAACCTGGCAACCCCTTGATCTAAGAGAACTGTAAGCAACTTAATTTTCTGGTTTAAACCAGCCACTCTGTGGTTTTTTGTTATAGCAGCTCAGCAAACTAAATAATAAGAAAGAATAAAAAAATATATGAATGGAAATATTACAATAGAAAATCCAAAAGGCCAATGTGCATTTAAGGTTTGTATTAAGTTTATTTATTTTGAAATGGGGGTAGGACGGAGAGAGAGAGAGAGAGAGAGAATCCCAAACAGACTCTGCACTGTTAGCACAGAGCCTGATGTGGGGCTCAAACCACAAATTTACCTGAGCCAAAATCAAGAGTCAGATGCTTAACTGACGGAGCCACCCAGGCACCACAGGCTGAAAACATGTTCAAAACTCATCAGTAATCAGGGCAATGCAAATCAAGCACGAATGAGACAGCACTTCATAATTACTAGATTAACAAAAATTTAGAATATAAAAAATGTCAAGTAGTGCCAAGATTGTGGGGAGATAAAAACCTTATCGTGCAGCTAGTGTAAACTGACACAAGCATTCAGGAAAGCAGTCTGACACAATTTAGTTAAAATGCAGACAATCCCTGTGGCCCAGTAATTCTACTTGTTTATCTATCCCAGAGAAATTCTTGCATTGTATGCTAATACTCACCTTAGAATAATTTGTGGTAGCAATTTGGATGGATGTCCACAACTTGGGGCATAGGTACCACTAAGGAGGAGTTGAAAGTAACAGTTTAGATGCACACATAGCAACTTACATGGATCACAAAAATATCAATGTTGAGTGGGTAGATAAGAGTCTTAGTTTGATATATGGTATGGTAATACCATTACATAATTAGAAAAACATACGCACACTAAATAATTTTAAAGGACAATGAGATGAATTTTAAACAGTGGAATACTTGCTTGTGAGTGTAAGGCAAGAAGAGTGGCCCTCAAAAAAGAAGATACAAATGAAGTGTGAGTTTTTTTTATCATCTATATGATTCATACATATGTATGTATACACACAAACATATATATTAAAGTTAAGGAAAACATGTAGACATATTTATTTTTATGTCTGGCCCAGTGTAAAAAATCAAATATTTGGGGTGACTGGGTTGCTCAGTTGAGCAACTGACTCTTGATTTTGGCTCAGGTCACGATCCCAGGATTGTGAGACGGAGACCTGCTTTGATCTCCGGACTGAGTGTAGAGCTTGCATGACATTCTGTCCTCTCCCTCTGCCCTTCATCCTCACTTGCATGCTCTGTCTCTAAAAAAAAAAGAAAAAAAATCAAATATTTAATTTGAGTGAATGATTACAACAACAATGCCTCCTATAACACAACGTGTCTTATTGGATACTGTTGTTTTCTTTCCACGTGTCATATTAGTTAATCATCACATCCCTAAAATTAGGTACTATTTTAAAATTTATATTGAGAGAACGAGCATGTGGCTCAGTAGGGGAGCAGCAGAGAGAGAATTTCTTTGTGGTGTTTGATCCCAGAGCTGTGAAATCATGACCTGATCCCAGATCAAGAGATGGATGCTTAACTGACTGAGCCACTCAGGCACCCTGAAAGTGGGTACTTTTAATAACTCCGTTTTACACATGAGGCAGCTGAGGCAAAGAAATATTTTAAATTTTGTCTACAGGCTTAGGGCCAGAAAACAGCAGAGTGTGGATGTTAAACATATGTTAAAGCACACCCAACAACTGCCCCCCGCAACATAAGTTGTTCAAGGGAGTAAGGGATATAAACTTAGACTTAATTAAAATTAAGGTAGTTTTATTTACTTCAACATTAAAATGTTATATGTATATAAATATATGGATAAAACCTAGGGAAATAATGAATCACCAAATAAAAAACAATATACCTGGATCATCTTGGCTAATTGTGATGGGAGGGAGAGTTTGTATCTGGTTAGGCAAATTTGGAAATTACTGTCTTTGGATAAAACAACACCAACATGGAGCAATTTTATAAAACTAATAACAATGTAAATTTGTTTCTATGAATGTGATAGCATTATTTACTCTTTATATTAATTTGAATAAAAATTTTTACCCTTGAATTCTATAGACTTTAAAATTCTACATTATTCTCTATAATGCTGTACTAGTTTATTAGGGTTGCCATATCAAATTTCCACAAACTGGTTTCTTAAAAAAATAGAAATTAATGTCTCACAATTCTGGAAGCTAGAAATCCGAAATCAAGATATTTGCAGGACTGGTTCCATCTGAGGAACTATGAAGGAAAGATGGGTCATACTTCTTGGCTTTCTCGATGACCATTTTCTTCCTGTGTTTTGTCACATGTATCTCTCTGTGTCCAAATTTCCTCCTTTATAAAAAAAAAAAAGACAACAATCATATTGGATTAGAGTCCACTCTAATGATTCCATTTAACTTTATTGGCTTTGCCTTTATTAACTTTATTATCCAAATATTATCTATTATGACAAGTAATTTTACAATTTGTATAGTTTTGGCAATGAGGACATAATTCATCCAATAACAAATGCCTATTAGTTATTTCCTTTGATAGTGGTTTCATGCTTGTGCTATTTATTTTAGAAATGGTTTTATAATGACATTTACCTAATATACCTTATGCTTCTTTAATCATTTATTTTATTAGGAAACGATGGGTGAAGTAGGATATTTTTTTCTAATAGTGGCTGAGAATTAGCTATAGTAGTATTAGCTTACACTTTATATCAGTCCAGAGTCAGTATGGGATGTTTCCCAATTCCAAAATTGCAGATTATTTCTGTGAAAAGTTTCTTTGGTTTTGCTTTAAATTGAATCTTATAATTTGGTTATTATAGTTCTAGCACTAACACGAAGCATTCATAGATTTACATGGTCAACATTGAAGTCAGTGGGTAAATATTTCAATTATAATTATCAGAATAACTTTCCTTATTCATCAGGATTATTTTTGGTATTTGATGATATGCCCAAGGTCCACTGATGAAAAGATAGACAGGATAGAAAATAAATAACAGAAAGAAACTGATATTAGGAAAGCATTATTTTTTTCACTTGGCTATCAAAAACAATGATTAGAACAAAGCATCTGGTTTTATTCTATTCAGACTTTGCATATGGGGATTGAACAAAATAGATGTCTAAGTTTGGGGTCTCTGTGCCAGGAATTTAGGTTTTTACAGTATGTCTCTTTAATAGGGCCCAGACTCCCTGAACAGAAGGCAATTCCTATTCCTGGGATAAGGGAAAAACACAAATACCAGAAAACACAGGTACTATTAACTGTATCTTAAGACCTTTTGAATGTGGCTTGTTGAAGGATTGTAAAATCCAAGTTTAAGATAATAAACAAAATTTGCAAAATTTGTTATTTAAGAAAAAATGAACATTCATATAGAAGCATAATATTAAAACAGTAGCAGTCAGGCTAAGCAAAAAAAAAAAAAAAATACTTTGTTTCATGTAAAAGAAAATTAGGCTAAAATGTTTGGCCACAGTCAAGGGCAATATATTTTTGTGCTTATTAGCTTGAAGTTTGAATAACATGTTGTTTATACAAAACAAGTTTGACTATACTCTTAATTAGATCTTTTTCCCAATATTTACATATACGATTGCAAAACATCTCCCAAGAGTCTAAAGACCTCATGTTCACCTATTATTTTAGTTTCTTACTTGAATTAATTTAAGTTTTGAATTATTATACTTTCTTATACATCCTGTTTTCCTTACTTTGCCAGCTTAAGTTGGAAATATTCCTTAGTTTCCTCATTATTACATCTCTTCCAGACACACACCCAATTTAGAAAGTACATCCAGACATATATATATGAGAGGAAGGAAAACATTTTGCTTTATAGTTTTGATCTATTTTGCTATTCCATGCCATTTTGGCCCTAGCCATCAGCCTGTAAAACTCATCAATATAAATTCTTATGCAAAAACTTTTGTTGCTAATTCAATTTTATTCCAAAGTTTTGAAAGGAAATCTATCCTTCCCAGCATCAAAGTAGATGACTGTATAATTTCTACCAAGCTACAGTATTTAAAATCTTCTAAAATATGAATTAGTAGGAAAATGAAGATGATAGAGGAGGAAGCTCCAATAATCAGTCTTTCTAAGAAAATGTCTTTTGAGTTTCTAAGAAATATCAAAATCAACGCTTATCCATATTTCAATACTAGCCAAATACTTGCAGCATCAAGGGCATTGCTTTGTAAAAAAGTTACCTGTACATTTTGGTGAATTTTGGTGTGGTTTACTATTACCAACCTAGGAAATAAGGATTTTGCCATCCAAAAATTGTGTTTGGTTGTTTTGATCTCTCTGGCCAACTGGAAAAGAGGTAAGTTATTGTCTCAATCCCCTGAGTCACAAGTGGATTCTCACACAGCATCTATTGAAAGAGTTTAAAGATAAAGAATACCTTTATTATTTTCATTGATTATTGATTCCAGGAATTCAAGGAAATCGCTGTGAGTTCACTGACTGCTGATAGAACTAGACAAAGGTTTCAGTGACTACGCCTAACAAAAAACATAGACTTTGCAAAATAATCTCACTAAACAGATAAGTGAAGCCCCAAATACCAATAACAGCAACAAAAATACCAGGCATAAAAAGAAACAGGAAAGTATTGTCCAATCAAAGAACAAAAAATATCTCAGAAAAAAATGAAGTATGAATCAGCAGAGAATATCAATAAAGATAAATGATAAAAGAAACTAAATAGAAATCATGGAAATGAGAGATACAATAGTGTAAATAAAACATTTATCATATAGGTTCAACGTCAAATTTGAGAAAATATAAAAAAGAATCAGGGAACATGAAAATTGGACAATTGAAATTCCACAGTCTGAGATTCAGGGTGAAAAATGAATAAAGACTAAGGAATTTTATGGGATATCATCATGCATGCCAACATATACTTAGAGTTTGAGAAGGATGATAGAATGAGAGAGGATTATGGTACAATGCTGGAGTAGGCAGAATCCTGATTCTATCTCCTCACTTACTCAACAAATGCTCTGGAAGAATCTAACTATTATTTTGGAACTTTGGAGTCTATTGGAGACTTGAACAGTAAATTATGGTTAATTTTGGTCAGTTTCCACTTTTTGAACAGTAGCAGCCACATCAGATAGCCATGTATATATTTTTGATACAGCTTCCACGCAGTTTGATGGAGCCAAGGAGGGTAAAAAGGACCCTGTCCACCAAATATCAGAGATATGTGCTCTTCTGATTGCTGACACTGATTTCAAAAGTTTAGATAACGAGGCAGACAACCACTGGTGTTGCTCCTCCTACAATTGTAACAGTCTGGCGGTTCCATTAGGCTCACAACAGTGTTTCTGCCCTTTCTATTCTCTTTGATGTGAGAGTCTGTTCTACCAGTTTGGAGGGCATTTTTCTAGTTTACTTATACTGTTCTCTGTGTTGTCTAGTTGTATCCCTGAGACAAGTTAAGCTTATTCCATTATCTTCTCCAGAATTCTAAACATTTCACTATTTTTTTAAAAATCAATCAAACTAAACTAAAAAAGAGACTTATGCAGGAAATATGGAACAAAAAATCTATAAAGCACTTATTCCACCTATTCCACTATCTTCTTCACAAGTCCAAGCATTTCACTATTTTTATTTTTTTTTTTACAAATAGTTTATTGTCAAGTTGGTTTCCATATAACACCCAGTGCTCATCCCCACAAGTACCCTCCTCCATGCCCATCTCCCCCCTCCTCCCTACACCCATGAGTCCTCAGTTTGTTCTCAGCATTGAAGAGTCTCTCATGGTTTGCCTCTCTCCCTTTCCCCCCTTCTTCACCCCTATGGTCCTCTGTTAAGTTCCTCCTAATCCTCCTATACGTGCAAACATATGGTATTTGTCCTTCTCTGCCTGACTTATTTCACTCAGCATAACACCCTCAAGGTCCATCCATGTTGCTTCACATGGCCAGATTTCATTTTTTCTCATTGCCATGTAGTATTCCATGGTATAGATAAACCACATCTTCTTGATCCATTTGTCCGTTGATGGACACTGAGGCTCTTTCCATGTTTTGGCTATTGTTGAGAGTGCTACTATGAACATTGGGGTACATGTACTCCTATGCATCAGCACTCCTATAGCCCTTGGGTAAATTTCTAGCAGGCATTCCACTATTTTTAAAACTCAGGCAAACACAAAAGATGGCACAGGAAATAAGGGTGGGGGGGGAAGCTATAAAGCACATAGAAACCAAATAGCACAATGGCAAATAAGTTTCTCCTTATCAGTAATTATTTTAAATATAAATGGATTAAATTCTTCAAACACTGTGTTATCTCTGAGACTTATATACACAGGCACAAATTGGTCAAAAGTTAAAGGATATTCCATACACATAATTCCAAAGAGAGGAGAGGTGGGTATACTAATATCAGACAAAATAGATTTTATATTGAAGTTTTTATGAGATTATATAAATTTTAATACAGTTAGAAGATATCAAAATTAGAAACATTTACACATCTACTAACAAACCATCAAAATATGTGCAATAAATCAATAGAATTGGAAGAAGAAATAGACAGTAGTTGGGGGCTTTCATAACCCTCTCTCAGTAATGGATAGAACAGCCACACAGAAGATACACTAAGGCAATACCAGACTTATACAACACAATAAAACAACTTGATTCAACAGATCTAGTACAGAACATGAATGGATGATGGATAAGCAAAATATGGTATATAAATACAATGACATATTCTTTAACTTAGAAAAAGAAGAATTTTCTGTTTGCTGGGAAGATGGCAGAATAGGAGGATCCTAAGCTCACCTCATCTATGAACACCCTGACAACTATGCATTCCAACTTTCCCTACAAACAACCGGAGACTGGCAGAATAGATCTTCCACAACTAATTCGAGAGAGAAGGCTACATCAAAAAAGGTAGGAAAGATAAAGAAATATCAGGCACAAAACTCCTGATGACACTAACTGCAATGGGAGGGACAAGGGGACAAGCATGGAAGAACAAGGGGATCAGACCCCACACCAGGCACCCTTGCCTCTAAGATCTCACACTGACAAGGTGAATCTTCATAATGCCTGGCATTGAAAATCAGTCGGGCTTAGCTTTGGTAGAGCCAGAGGGCAATAGAAAACTGAGTTCCTACCCTTAAAGGGCCATTATTTGGTGTGCACCAAATAAATCAGTCTGAGATGAGGCATAAAAGAAACAGTTTTAAAAGAGCCTAAAATATATGTAAAGAAGATTTAATGACTAATTTTAGGATGTGTGCAAAAGGGGCAGGGATTTACAATTTTTCTCTGGAACCAGAGGAGCTGGTGAGCACCCTTTTTCTTGCCTGTCCCTGGCCTAGATAGCTGGACATTTGTGGGAGCCAGTGCTAGCACTCTCTATCTACTCTGCTAGCACATGAGCAATGCTACAATGTTTCCCTGTAGACTTGCTTCACCCAATCCATCCACCCACTCTGACAGGTACCCCTCCAAAGAAGCTCCTGCCCTGGGAGGAGAAACCTAACCTTATACACCATGCACTCAGCAAGCCCTGCACAGCAGTGTATCCACAGCTGTCCCAGAAGCTAAGTGCAGTCAGGTAGGCTGAATGCTAGTACCACCCATCAGCAAGTCTAAAGAGGCTGCATCTGAGCCTCTCAGTTGGCCACACTGGGAGAATGACCTACACACCATTGTGCCCACAGCAAGTGAAACAGGTCATTGCAGCCAGCTGCAGTAAGGTAAGGGCCACTTATACCCAACAATGTGCAGTCAGGGACAATAATGCTATAGGACAGCACCGAACCTCCTCCTCCTCTTCTTTTCTTTTTTTTTTTAAGTTTACTTACTTATTTTGAGAGATGCAGAGACAGCATGAGTAGGGAAGAGACAGGGAGAGAGAGAAAATACCAAGCAGGTTCCACACTGTCAGCACAAAGCCTGATGCAGGGCTTGAACACATGAAACCGCAAGATCATGACCTGAGCTGAAACCAAGAATTGGACGCTTAACCAAGTGAGCCACGCAGGAGCCTCAGCACAGTACCTCTTCTATGCAAGGTTAATTTTTCAAACTAGGAGACATAGCTGACTCATCTATACCTTGAAACAGAAAGTTAGACAAAATGAGGAGACAGAAGAATAAATCCTATATTTAAGAATAAGATAGAACAACAGTAAAATAATGAAGTGAAACAGAGATAAGCAGTGTGTTAAATAAAGAGTTCAAGGTAATGGTCATAAAGCTACTTACTAAACTTGAGAAAAGAGTGGATATACCCAGTGAAAACTTCAACAAAGAAAGAAAGAAACAAAAAATTATACCAGAGCTTAAGAATACAACAATTGAAATAAAAAAAAACCAGAAGAAATTAACAGATTAGAAGAGGCAGAAGAATAACTGAGTAATCTCCAAGCCAGGGTAATGGAAAGCAAACAAGCTGAATACCAAAATAAATAATAAATAAAATGAGGATAGGTTAAGAGACCTCAATGCCAACATCATTCCAATTATAGGAGTCCTAGAATAAGGAGATAGAGACATGGGGTCAGAAAACCTATTTTAAGAAATAATAGCTGAAAAGTTCCCTAACTGAGGGAACTAAACAGACATCTAGATCCTCTAAGCACTGAGAGCCTCAAGATGAACCTAAGGCTGTCTACACAATGACACAATTAAAATGACAAAGATTAAGGATAAAGAAAGTATTTTAAAAACAATTACATATAAGGGAAATTCCATAAGGCTTATTTGTGAACAGAAACATTGCAGGCCAGAAGAGAATGGTGTGATCTGTTTAAAAACTTTCAAGCAAGGCTATTCTACCTGGCAAGATTATTATTCACAATTGAATGAGAGATAGAGATTCCCAGACAAACAAGAGGTAAAGGGATTCTTCACCACTACAACAGTTTTGTAAATGTTAAAGGGATTTCTATAAGCGGGAAGAAAAGGCTATGGATGTTAAAATACAAAAGTAGTAAAATCAATTAAATATAATTAGGGATATCCAAGTTAAAAAGATGTTTCTATAACATCAGTAAACTTAGAGGACAAAGGAAAACTTTAGAACTCTTTGAATGTATTTGAACTTGTGATCAACTTAATATAAACTGGAGAAACATTAGATATTGTATATGAATTCCTTGGTAACTATAAACCAAAACCTTTAATACACCAAAAAGAGAAGGAAATTATTAAACTATAGGGAAGAGAGAAAAAAAAGAAAATAACTACAAAAATAAAATTAACAAAAAGGGAATAAGAACATATCTATCAATAATGATTTCAAATGTAAATGGACTAAATGTGCCAGTGAGCAGATATAGGGTGAATGAATAGTTTATAAAACCAAACCCATCTATATGCTGCTTATAAGAGA